GGCATCTAACAAACATGCTTATCATAGTTCACGAACTTCATCAGTTTTCTCTGTAATAATTGCCTCGTTCCCATGTGTACTATGAGGCTGTGATGTCCTACTCACTGAATCTCACACATGAGACAACCGAGATGCACCTGCAATTTCAGCATCATCATGACAACTTGTGATAATTATGGATTTGAAAGCATTATGTTGAATTTTAATGGGAGTTTTGATACAGCCAACTGAAATTGGAATGGTTGGCTGTGTTACCTGACTGACTGCGGCGGCGATGGCTATTGAACATTGAACAGTATCGTGTCACCATGATACCATCACGTATCGCCATGGTCGTATCACCTGATTTGTCTGAACGTAGATACTGTCAAGTTAACCAGTTGTGTCGCTCATGATCAGGTGTCTAACCAACCATGTTAACGATTCGATATCCTGACTCCGAATTGTCTAAACTGTATAAGTCATGGTTGTTATTCACAGAACCTTGGCACGAAAAATATTTTATTTAAAACCCATTGTTCTGCTAAGCGTATTTAAGTAACTCAAGACATGCATGCTTCACTATGAGAAGAGTACGTGAGTGCTGGTAGCAGTCCGGTAAATGGTGATACGTATTTTACATATTCTATGTTAAATAGGGATGGAGTGGTAATATTCAGTCACTTGGTTGAATTCGTTTCATCGAAGCCGATAGTTCATCATGGTTGATGAAAACTGGAATATTGCTGATTGCGTGGTTAAAACAACATTCATTCATAGGTTATCATGTAAAGAAAGGGCAATAGCAAAACATTTAACAATGGCGCAACTCAAACAATTCTCAGGCTATGGCCTGTGTGGAGGCAATAACGTAGGTGTCACAGCTACATCGGGAATATGTAAAAGGCTCGCCTTTATTACTGCAGCAGAACATTGATAAATGTGCACGTCATATCAATAAGTGTCCCTGAGCACTGAGACAGGAAACTACTCTTTTACGAAAGCTTCAAACAATAACGCACTCAATTCGCATAATTGTTTCGATTTGATATCATTATGCATAACAGACATGTTTTAAGGTATAAATGAAATGTACATTTCATTATTGTAATTTTATTCATTAAAAGTTACAAACAAACATGCCTTTATAAGCAATATATGAGTTTTATTAAGGGCGCATAACAATGTCGAAACTGATATCATAATATACAGGGAACTATAATATACACGAAACTTCTATGTGTTTCAACCCATGAGGTGTCAGCCTATTACGTCAGTCACTACAGATGCAATGGTTTTCTGTAATGACGTCATCTAGGTAGGGCTCATAGGGATCAAACCTGGAAGAAGTCCCCATGATATTAATATGCAGAAAGACGTACCACGAAGGTGAGAAGACATGCAACAGGCAAGCATCTAGGCAGGGCTCATAGGGATCAAACCTGGAAGAAGTCCCCATGATATTAATATGCAGAAAGACGTACCACGAAGGTGAGAAGACATGCAACAGGCAAGCATCTAGGTAGGGCTCATAGGGATAAAACTTGGCAGAACTCACCATGATATTAATATGCAGACAGACGTACCACGAAGGTGAGAAGACATGCAACCAGGCAAGCATCTAGGCAGGGCTCATAGGGATCAAACCTGGAAGAAGTCACCATGATATTAATATGCAGAAAGACGTACCACGAAGGTGAGAAGACATGCAACCAGGCAAGCATCTAGGCAGGGCTCATAGGGATAAAACTTGGAAGAAGACACCATGATATTGATATGCAGAAAGACGTACCACGAAGGTGAGAAAACATGCAACCAGGCAAGCATCTAGGCAGGGCTCATAGGGATCAAACCTGGAAGAAGTCCCCATGATATTAATATGCAGAAAGACGTACCACGAAGGTGAGAAGACATGCAACAGGCAAGCATCTAGGCAGGGCTCATAGGGATAAAACCTGGAAGAAGTCACCATGATATTGATATGCAGAAAGACGTACCACGAAGGTGAGAAGACATGCAACCAGGCAAGCATCTAGGTAGGGCTCATAGGGATAAAACTTGGAAGAAGTCACCATGATATTGATATGCAGAAAGACGTACCAGGAAGGTGAGAAGACATGCAACCAGGCAAGCATCTAGGTAGGGGCTCATAGGGATAAAACTTGGAAGAAGTCACCATGATATTGATATGCAGAAAGACGTACCACGAAGGTGAGAAGACATGCAACAGGCAAGCATCTAGGCAGGGCTCATAGGGATCAAACCTGGAAGAAGTCACCATGATATTAATATGCAGAAAGACGTACCACGAAGGTGAGAAGACATGCAACAGGCAAGCATCTAGGCAGGGCTCATAGGGATCAAACCTGGAAGAAGTCACCATGATATTAATATGCAGAAAGACGTACCACGAAGGTGAGAAGACATGCAACCAGGCAAGCATCTAGGTAGGGCTCATAGGGATAAAACTTGGAAGAAGTCACCATGATATTAATATGCAGAAAGACGTACCACGAAGGTGAGAAGACATGCAACAGGCAAGCATCTAGGCAGGGCTCATAGGGATCAAACCTGGAAGAAGTCACCATGATATTAATATGCAGAAAGACGTACCACGAAGGTGAGAAGACATGCAACAGGCAAGCATCTAGGCAGGGCTCATAGGGATAAAACTTGGAAGAAGTCACCATGATATTAATATGCAGAAAGACGTACCACGAAGGTGAGAAGACATGCAACAGGCAAGCATCTAGGCAGGGCTCATAGGGATAAAACTTGGAAGAAGTCCCCATGATATTAATATGCAGAAAGACGTACCACGAAGGTGAAAAGACATGCAACAGGCAGTTTAGACACGTGAAGTTCTGGGGAACAAGAAAGTATTCACCCATGTTAACTGATGGCTAAGCATGAACCAAACCAGTACTGGTTGTTCGATGGTGACTATATCATTGCTGTATTTTACGCGTTAAGGTTGTTGTGTGCTGCCGACTATTTTCAGTCAGTTAACGTTAACAACTTTTCATAAAGCTCGTAATTGTTTGACTAATTTCGGTTTTCAGATGAAGTATTTTCTTCCGATAATTAACATATATCCATGCTCATTATGCATTAAGTATGAAAATAAGTATTTACAGTTTTTGTTATCTGAAATAGTTTCTTGGTTTTGTTTTTAGTCCGCATACGTCGGACCGAGATTGTGTATTTTTAAGGTATGTTGCACACAATGAAACATCTTTTTATTTGCACCCAAATAACAAGTGCAATATTGAAACACCGTATAGGCTATAAAATACTTGCTTTTCATTCAATTTGTGAAAACAAACTTTTCATTATTATATTTCTGCCTCAATGACACTATGTTTTTAGACACAGGCATTTAAATATAAAACGTAAACACTAGGGCTTGATTATCCACAGACACCGAATCCAAGGGGTGGAAATATGGTAGTGAAAAGTACTTGAATGGATGGTAACCGAATGGACCTCTTGACAATAAGTGATGATACATGGCTTTGGCGGAACGGGTGAGTGAGTGGTGACAATCAGTGATGATAGCCATATCGTGACTCGGAACGGGTGAGCAAGTCGCACACAATATGAAGTTTAAAAAGTAAGTGTAAGCCTTAATTCCCGTGGAAACATCCGGCTTCTGGATCATGTATACATGTTACTGGATAAACGATATCAGCTTCTTAAATTAAGAAACTCTACTGGCCGTTTGGTATCACTAAGGGACCACAGGACAGAAATCAAATCCTGAAACTATAATTTTCAACAAAATCTCAGAGTTTACTTTGGCAGAAAATTATTCATGCTTAAAACCAAAACAACAAATGTTTTCAGAGAACCGATCGGTAATATGTGGCATGGTTCGGTTTTGATAGTGAGCTGAGCGCCTTGCAGGCAGCACGCATACTTTGCTCTGCAGTATGTTGCATATTTCATCTGTTTATTCCCATTCTCTCTCTCTCTGATGTTTGGCATGCTGGTTCCTAACACAGTTGTGCATCTTTTCATATGAAATTTGCATATTTTCCAAATGTTGACTTATTTGACATTTGTATGGACAATTGGTATAGTTTTGGAGGCTATGCTCACCATGCCCAAACAGCACGGACAAAAGAGCTTGATTGAAGAACAATCACCGGTGAGCTACAGCAGAGGTTACATCACCATGCAGTCAAGCCCAGAAACAAAGGCTGAACTCTCAAGTCTATCAACATATCTGTGAACTTGGTATTCAAAGACATAAGCCCACAAGACGAGGCAAGCGAGCTGGGCACAGGAAACAAAATCAGACCCATGTAATACAAAATGAGCTCAGCAGGACAAAAACATGTAATGTAAATAACCTAATAAATGTTCACCCACCGAAGAGATCTTCTAAAGTTTAAGCCACCATGTGGAACGCACAGTCAGCCAGGAATAAAACTTTAGAAATTGCAGATTTCATTGTTGAAGAGAACTTGGATGTAATGTTTATCACAGAATCGTGGCTCCGAACAGTTGGTGATGACAGTTTGATGACAGATATAACACCCGGCGGTTACACGTTGCACAGTCTACCTCGACAAACTGGATCCGGTGGAGGGATTGCTGTAATACACAGGGAAAGCCTCACTGTGGATATGTGTTCTGTGTCTATCAATCTGCCGTCGTTGGAGCTGCTGGAATGTGTTATCACTGCTGGAAATAAGTCCGTACGAGTTGTACTTGTATACAGACCGCCACCATCCAAAGCAAATGGCCTGACTATATCCAAATTTGTAAGTGACTTTGTTCTGTTGCTTGAATGTTTCATTACAAAAAACGGCCCATTGCTAATACTAGGTGACTTTAATACCCACTTTGAAGACCTGACAAAGACTGATGTAGAAGCTTGCAGAAAAATCCTCCATGCAAATGGTGTCATTCAACATGTTAAGCATGCTACTCATAAAAGGGGACATACTATTGACTGGCTTATCACCAGGGAATCTGACTTACTACTAAGTGAGATGAAAGTGCAGGATCGTCAAATGTCGGACCACTTCATGATTTCATTTGAATTTGATCTTCAGAAACTCCCTCCGGTCAAAAAGTGTGTTGTGTGTAGAAACATTAAAGGTATTCCTCTGGATGTTTTCAGAGAGGATTTGTTGAGTTCCAAGCTTGTCTTGAATCCTACATCAGACATCGATGAACTAATGGACCTGTATGTCTCCACACTGGACGACCTGCTAGACAAGCACTCACCCTCTGTTACTCGAACAATCACAGTTCAGCCAAATGCACCTTGGTACAATTATGACATACAGACGGCAAAAGTACACAGGCGTAGAACAGAACGGAAGTGGAGCAAATCTGGTTTAGAAGTTGACAGGCAAATATATCAGCAAGCAAGAACCGATTTGAAGAAACTCATCCGGAATGCTAAGTTAACATACTGCCGTGAGATGATTCTCTCCAACTCAAACAACCCTAAAGTTCTTTGGAATCAACTGTCAAAACTCCTAGGAAAAGGAGATCCAAAGCCACTTCCGACAGAGGAAAGTGATGAGATTCTCTCTGAGAAGTTCAATTCTTACTTCATAACTAAAATTGACAATATCAGAGCAGTGTTAAGATCTTTGCAGTCTTCAACACCCAAGGATATCACGGCCCACGATCATATCTCAGGGGAAAGACTTGCACAGTTTGAACCTGTGTTGGAAAGTGAAGTGCTAACCCTCCTCAAGAAATCCAAGCAGACGACCTGTGAACTAGATCATATTCCCACGAGTCTGCTGATGAAGGTGAGCGATGTTCTGATTCCTGTCATCACACACATCGTCAACACCAGTTTACAGACTGGACGTGTTCCCAAAGCTTTCAAAGAAGCCGTGGTGAAGCCTCTCCTGAAAAAGCAGAACCTTGATGTGAACACTTTGAGCAATTACCGCCCGGTATCTAATCTTTCCTTTACCTCGAAGATACTAGAGAAAGCTGTTGCAAAACAGCTAACTCAACATCTGGATACCCACGGATTGTCTTGCAAATTTCAATCAGCATACAAAAGATCACACAGCACCAAGACGGCCCTGGTGCGAGTTGTGAACGATTTGCGCTCAGTGGTTGACCGTGGTGACTTAGGGATGCTTGTGCTGTTGGATTTATCCGCAGCTTTCCATACAATCGACCATGAGATCTTGAAGTAGACTTGAGATGCAGTATGGCCTGTCAGGATGTGTCCATGATTGGTTCTCCTCCTACCTGTCAGATCGGTGCCAGAGTGTCATCATCAAAAATACACAATCATCAAGGATCGATCTATGTTGTGGTGTGCCCCAGGGTTCTGTGTTGGGACCAGTACTGTTCACGCTATATGCTGAACCACTGGGAGAGCTTCTCAATAGCCATGAAGTACCTCATCATTTTTATGCAGACGACTCCCAGTTGATCAACAGTATTTCTCCTGGTGTTGAACATTCATCTCTTGCAAAAATGGCAACTTGCACAACCGATGCCAAAACATGGATGGCAGCGAACATGCTGAAGTTGAATGAGAGCAAAACGGAAGCCATGTTCATTGGACTAAGACGGACACTCCAGAAACTAGATGTGACTGACATCCCAATATGTGACATCACAGTCCCACATTCCAGATCCGTGAAGAATTTGGGAGTATATCTTCAATCAGATCTTTCGATGGACAGACAAGTCTCAGAGCCTTGTAGAGTCTGCAATTACCATCTGTGGAACATAGGAAGTATACGTCATCTTCTCACTCAAGACACTGCAGCAACTCTAGCGAGATCATTCATCCTGTCCCGGCTGGATTATTGCAACTGTCTCCTTGCTGAATCTACACAGTCAAACATTAACCGCCTCCAGAGAATCCAAAATAAAACTGCTCGTATGGTTACCAGGTTACCCCAGTCCGCTGACATAAACAACATCTTAAGATCGCTGCACTGGTTGCCCATCCGTGCTCGTGTTGTTTTTAAACTCCTGTGCCTAGCCTACCAGTGTGTTCACGGAACTGCTCCTGAGTATCTGTGTGAACTCCTGACACAGTACCAGCCAGCTAGAGGTCTCCGGTCCAGTTCAAAGCAACTCCTTGACATTCCCAGATTTCAGCTAAAAACATTCGGAGGCAGATCTTTCAGTGTGACAGCAGCTGTCAAATGGAATCAGCTCCCTGACTCTTTAAAACACTCTGACTCTCTTCCATCATTCAAAGCCCTCCTGAAGACCTATCTGTTCAACAACTATCTCTGACTCTGGACTTTCTTTGCTAAAGCGCTTTGAGCGTGCATTGGTGTGTGGAAAAGCGCTATACAAATGGAACTATTATTACATGGCGGTATTGGCAATATTGTCCACAACGATTGGGCAGACTGGATTCTTCTCAGCCAGTATCATTGCAGCCTTGCGGCGGTCATCCAGTGACTTGTGAGAGGCAATCTGAACATTGTACTCGAAGCGCCAACCATCAGATGCATGCGCCTCTTCAATATAAATGATCAGAAAATCGGCGATGTTGGCAAACTCTGACGCCACGGCGTTGTAGCGCTTGAATTTGCTCATGAACGGTCGTCAGGTACAGCTCCCAAAGTTGACCACCAGGGGGCGCCCTTGTTTCTGAAAGTCCAGCAATCGGTGGATCTGTGTTCCGTCAAGTGAGTGCAGTCGAGGATTGGGGGCAAGATGGTGGAGGAAGGCGTCCTTATACAAGTCTAGATACGCTGCACGGAATACACCTTTGAAGTGACTCAGCTTCAGAACAGAACGATCGTAGTCTCTGGCAAGGTCTTCACTGGTCGCCCCCTCTACTTTTGTTGTAGTTACAACAACAATGTGTTTCCCGAACACTCTTTTGAAGATGGTGGAGACGAGGTAGACCCAGAGACGGAGTATTATTCCCAGCAGGCGCCACAGCAGTACCGTCTGTCTTACCACGCCCATCGTACTGAAAGTTAAACAGCAAATTTGACTTAAGTGTGCATGTGTTCAATCGAAACATAGTAAAAGAATATCGGGGTTCTTAACCAATTTTACTGAACATGACAGCCAATACAAATCCGTGGTGTACTGGTTAGAGGTTCCGCTAGGAGAGCAGAAGGTCGCGGGTTCGATCCCCGGCTGCATCACACCAAAAGACGTTAAAATATGGTACTTGTTGGTCCCTGCCTGGCGCTCGGCATTAATGGGTACAACAAGGACTGGTCGGCTCGGAGTCAGTATAATGTGTCTGAGTGGGGTATTCATGCTTAACAGCGGCATGGTATCTCAGTGGGCTAGCACTATAAAACCAGGTAAGGTCTGGGCTAGTACAAGTAGCTACACATACACACGCATGCACGTTGTCATATGAGCGAAATAATGTTAAGCGCGACGTTAAACCCCATTTTACCCCACCTCACCTCAAATGCAAAGAGAGTTAGGTGTGTATTTACGCATGTCATTCTCGCCGTATTTTTCCGTGGTGTTCAATTTTCATTGACAAGCACTGCTACCTGCAAATAAGATCATATTTCACCAAGCAATGCCAACCAGAAACATGTATGTGGCATTATGCAGTGTGCGTTCTCAAACCTTTCTCGGTCAATAAGTCGCACATTGGACTATTCTTGGAGTCCTACTCTGTTACAAAGAGGGCGATATTGCGATTGTTCCTACACAATTGGCGGTAATTCATTTAATCAGGTGGACAATTTGACCGGTGAAAATTTACAGTGGACAGAATTTGTATTTGAACTGAACAGTTGCAATATAAAACGTATCAAAAGTGTGACTTTCATGTGTCATATGCATGAAACGGAAAAATGTCAATTCGTTGATTACACATGAAAATGTATAAGGGCTGATTGAGGAAATCTAGTATGCATTAAGAATGCAATGATATATGTATTTCGGATTTCGTACTGTATTTGCCAGAAATTCCCAGCATATTGCAGTTTACATGGATTAAGTATACGCCATCATCGTCTCTGTATAGCCCTTCATGTTGAGGGGATTACCTCCAGACAGCCACACAGGACACGTGGAGCTGCAGGTATGAATGCAAGCTATGTCGGTCAAGTCCAGTAATCTACAGTCCTTTGACAACCGTCTAAAGGATACACGACTTGACCCACATTCTACATTGCCTGGTTGTTGTTTAACGCTGCACTCAGCAATATCCAGGTTTATCACGTCGGTCATAAATAATCTGGGTTGGACAATTGAAAGAGGATGGTTATGACTATCGAGATACGCAAATGAGATATGATGACAAGGTCAGCGAGTCTGACCATCAGACACAGCTGGTCCCCTTTATGACAGGCATGGGTCGCTGAAGATATACTTCAGCCATAAGTTAGTTAAAGCGAATATCTTGGTTTTGTTTTGCCAACCTAAGCAGAAATTCCGAGTCACATGTGTAAACACAGAGTGCTGTGAAACGGAAAGCACATCCATGGCGATTCCTACATTTTGTCTAAAATGTCTAACCTCAAAGTTCCATGTGTTATCAGTGGGGAAGACCAGACTGTCCCATATTTCTCGGTAAACGTCAGATGACACTAAAAGTCTTGCTCAAAATGACAAATTGGGGTGTGAGAATGTCTTTGGTTACCACCATGTTATGTGACATCTCATTGATGATGGAACAGAGTCATTCCTGGGGTTTGTCATGTGGGGTAGTGGTGTACAAAGGTGAAAAGTCAAATCTTTTGATGTAATTGAACTTGATGTTTTCTGAGATTGCCAAAATTCTTGCAAATCCTTTGAAGATTTGCAAATCTACTTATTATTGATTCCACTTGTCTGCAATTCATTCTCAGAACATGGCAACTGGCTGGGATAAAATGGGTTTCAGAACGATTTCAACTTTCCAATCGTCACCTTTGTGTCGAGAAATATTTCAACAGCTGCGGCTACATTGCATACATTTCGAACCTTCGAGTACGGAGGTCTTTCTTGGGCGATTTCGAAGAACACCACATTGCTCAAACGTTGTTTGACCAAAGTTCCATCATACAAGGCCTAGGTAATACTTTCTAATGTGTTATTACCCGTGAAGATCCGGGGTAGAATAGGTCTTCAGTACCCCATGCTTGCCACAAAAGGCGACTATGCTTGTCGTAAGAGGCTCGCTGACTTGGTTGACACATGTCATCGGTTCCCAATTACGTAGATCGATGCTCATGCTGTTGATCACTGGATTGTCTGGTCCAGACTCGATTATTTACAGACCGCCGCCATATAGCTGGAATATTGCTGAGTGCGGCGTAAAACTAAACTCACTCACTCACTCTTATGTTTTGTGGAACACGTGTGGAGGTCATTATCAAATATGGCTCATCGGTGACAAACATGATATCCTTGTCTTTATTTATTGTAGATGAACAATTGACTTGCCTTTGCGTGTGTACGTGCCGGGTGTCCTCGGTGGACAGGATACGCTCACCTATTGCTAACATCTGGTGCCATCACCGTATCATGGCGATTCATGTATACATGCTAAGACATGATATAGTCGAAATCATGCAATCGCATTTGCTATTAGCAGGGACAATCATTATAGATACAGAGAAGGCGTGATCGTTTCTTTTTACTCCAACTCTGTTTTCTCTTTTTCAGTTTGACCACGTGATCAGTGATGCTATCGCGTACACGTTCAGATGGTTGATTTTCTCCTCTGGTTTAAAAAACCCCTGTAATACGATTCAATTATTTCCCAGTCACGTTAAATCTCACATTTGTCATAACCGTTTATTATTGGTTCATAGTAAATGCACAACTCTTCATGTTCAGCACAAATATTTTATTACAGATTAAAAACTGTGGTACATGTCTATACTGAGTAAAATGGACACATCATGAAAATACTATCATCGTTTTAACCCTTGTGACGTCAGCCTATAGCATCGGTCATTGTAGATGCACAGGTTTTCTGCAGTGACGTCATAGAGGGATGACTCACTGGGGTTAAACGGGGAACAATTTATCACGATGTTCCTTAAATTGTTGATATAAACCTGACATGGTAGTGTACCATCATTTGATACCCCAAGTGCTTCACCTAGGCCTTTAATGCTTTAATGAGAGGAGTTCCTAGTGAAACGACGTAACTGCACTTATATATCATGGTTTGAGTTCTGACCTTTGTATATAATGTTTCAAGTAAACCCCTCCTATATTCCGATCAATATCAGGACTGCCAAGAGTGTGTTCGGCAGGTAATGGTGAACCATTGAAATGTAAGTGTAATTTCTTGTTCGTTGGCCATTTGAGAGTTTTATTTCAACTGGGGTGGAGCACAAAGATTTACATCTTGGGTAGCGTATCTTGGGGAATTTCCCCTAGAATAGCGCATCAAGAACGATAAGAATGGTGAAAATGTTGACTTTCATTAATTGCAAGATTGTCTTGATTTCACTTAAATGTATGAAAAACACGTGATCAAAATGGCGTGAAAAACATACGGTCGTGGGAACCCGCCAAACAGACACCCCCAACCTTAGGAAGATCACTTTTGGAACGTTCACATGTACTTGCCCCTAAAACTACTACTACTACTACTGGTGAATTTCTAAAAAGTTAATATTCAGCGAGAAGTATACCGGCCGGCCTAACGGTATTTCACAAAATCAAAGGTAGGGTTGGACCTTTCAACACAAGGCGTTAACTGGTTATAATTCTCTAAATTCGGCTCCAGTCTGTCGGTCAGCTGTGCTTAAAAGTCTATATGCCTATATTCATTTCATTTTCAAACATACCTTCACATCTTGTGTACCTGTACCCGTCAATTTGTGGTTTTCTTAACGTGCATAGTAAGATTGCTTGCTTGGAGATGGTATAGGGTGAGTTACGTTACTTTAAAAGTTCAGCAAATGAAAATGTAATTGTTTAACTTCAGCAATGTTTGTCTGTAGAGCCCCTGTATGACGCCAACCACTGATGTACTTCGTCTAAATTGTAGAACTCAGGACCTCTTCCCCCCTCATATGCTATAACTCCATCTTTGATGATGTACAGTCGCTCAAAGTAGCCGCCATATTGGATGTTGGCGGTGTTGGCAATATTGTCCACAACTATTGGGCAGACTGGATTCTTCTCAGCCAATATCATTGCAGCTTTGCGGCGGTCATCAAGTGACTTATGAGAGGCAATCTGAACATTGTACTCGAAGCGCCAACCATCAGATGCATGCGCCTCTTCAATATAAATGATCAGAAAATCGGCGATGTTGGCAAACTCTGACGCCACGGCGTTGTAGCGCTTGAATTTGCTCATGAACGGTCGTCAGGTGCAGCTCCCAAAGTTGACCACCAGGGGGCGCCCTTGTTTCTGAAAGTCCAGCAATCGGTGGATCTGTGTTCCGTCAAGTGAGTGCAGTCGAGGATTGGGGGGCAAGATGGTGGAGGAAGGCGTCCTTATACAAGTCTAGATACGCTGCACGGAATATAGCTTTGAAGTGACTCAGCTTCAGAACAGAACGATCGTAGTCTCTGGCAAGGTCTTCACTGGTCGCCCCTCTACTTTTGTTGTAGTAACAACAACAATGTGTTTCCCGAATACTCTTTTGAAGATTGTGGAGACGAGGTAGACCCAGAGACGGAGTATTATTCCCAGCAGGCGCCACAGCAGTACCGTCTGTCTTACCACGCCCATCGTACTGAAAGTTAAACAGCGAATTTGACTTAATTGTGCATGTGTTCAATCGAAACATAGTAAAAGAATATCGGGGTTCTTAACCAATTTTACTGAACATGACAGCAAATACAAATCCGTGGTGTACTGGTTAGAGCGTCCGCCCGGAGACCGGAAGGTCGCGGGTTCGATCCCCGGCTGCATAACACCAAAAGACGTTAAAATATGGTACTTGTTGGTCCCTGCCTGGCGCTCGGCATTAATGGGTACAACAAGGTCTGGTCGGCTCGGAGTCAGTATAATGTGTCTGAGTGGGGTATTCATGCTTAACAGCGGCATGGTATCTCAGTGGGCTAGCACTATAAAACCAGGTAAAGTCTGGGCTAGTACAAGTAGCTACACATACACACGCATGCACGTTGTCATATGAGCGAAATAATGTTAAGCGCGACGTTAAACTCCATTTTACCCCACCTCACCTCAAATGCAAAGAGAGTTAGGTGTGTATTTACGCATGTCATTCTCACCGTATTTTGCCGTGGTGTTCAATTACGTTACGTTCTCTATCAGTATTTCTATAAACTCCTAAACTTAAACAAGAGTTCATATTTCACTGCTACCAAAATAAGATCATATTTCACCAAGCAATGCCAACCAGAAACAATTGTGCAGTGTGCGTTCTCAAACCTTTCTCGGTCAATAAGTCGCATATTGTATGACTGTACACGCACGTCACCAGAGTAATGTATCATTATCTGACAGTTGACATATGTGTGTCGGCCAGGTGAAATGTGTCACTATTCTTGGAGTCCTACTCTGTTACAAAGAGGGCGATATTGCGATTGTCCCTACACAATTGGTGGTAATTCATTTAATCAGGTGGACAATTTGACCGGTGAAAATTTACAATGGACAGAATTTGTATTTGAACTGAACAGTTGCAATATGAAAAGTGTGACTTTCATGTGTCATATGCATGAAACGGAAAAATGTCAATTCGTTGATTACACATGAAAATGTATAAGGAGGAAATCTAGTATGCATTAAGAATGCAATGATATATCTATTTCGGATTTCGTACTGTATTTGCCAGAAATTCCCAGCATATTGCAGTTTACATGGATTAAGTATATACGCCATCATCGTCTCTGTATAGCCCTTCATGTTGAGGGGATTACCTCCAGACAGCCACACAGGACACGTGGAGCTGCAGGTATGAATGCAAGCTATGTCGGTCAAGTCCAGTAATCTACAGTCCTTTGACAACCGTCTAAAGGATACACGACTTGACCCACATTCTACATTGCCTGGTTGTTGTTTAACGCTGCACTCAGCAATATCCAGGTTTACCACGTCGGTCATAAATAATCTGGGTTGGACAATTGAAAGAGGATGGTTATGACTATCGAGATACGCAAATGAGATATGATGACAAGGTCAGCGAGTCTGACCATCAGACACAGCTGGTCCCCTTTATGACAGGCATGGGTCGCTGAAGATATACTTCAGCCATAAGTTAGTTAAAGCGAATATCTTGGTTTTGTTTTGCCAACCTAAGCAGAAATTCCGAGTCACATGTGTAAACACAGAGTGCTGTGAAACGGAAAGCACATCCATGGCGATTCCTACATTTTGTCTAAAATGTCTAACCTCAAAGTTTCACGTGTTATCAGTGGGGAAGACCAGAATGTCCCATATTTCTCGGTAAACGTCAGATGACACTAAAAGTCTTGCTCATAATGACAAATTGGGGTGTGAGGATGTCTTTGGTCACCACCATGTTATGTGACATCTCATTGATGATGGAACAGAGTCATTCCTGGGGTTTGTCATGTGGGGTAGTGGTGTAACAAAGGTGAAAAGTCAAATCTTTTGATGTAATTGAACTTGATGTTTTCTGAGATTGCCAAAATTCTTGCAAATCCTTTGAAGATTTGCAAATCTACTTATTATTGATTCCACTTGTCTGTAATTCATTCTCAGAACATGGCAACTGGCTGGGATAGAATGGGTTTCAGAACGATTTCAACTTTCCAATCGTCACCTTTGTGTCGAGAAATATGTCAACAGCTTCGGCTACATTGCATACATTTCGAACCTTCGAGTACGGAGGTCTTTCTTGGGCGATTTCGAAGAACACCACATTGCTCAAACGTTGTTTGACCAAAGTTTCATCATGCAAGGCCTAGGTAATACTTTCTAATGTTTTATATTCCCCGTGAAGATCCGGGGTAGAATAGGTCTTCAGCAACCCATGCTTGCCACAAAAGGCGACTATGCTTGTCGTAAGAGGCTCGCTGACTTGGTTGGCACATGTCATCTGTTCCCAATTACGCAGATTGATGCTCATGCTGTTGATCACTGGATTGTCTGGTCCAGACTCGATTATTTACAGACTGCTGCAATATAGCTGGAATATTGCTGAGTGCGGCTTAAAACTAAACTCACTCACTCACTCTTATGTTTTGTGGAACACGTGTGGAGGTCATTATCAAATATGGCGCATCGGTGACAAACATGATATCCTTGTCTTTATTTATTGTAGATGAACAATTGACTTGCCTTTGCGTGTGTATGTGCCGGGTGTCCTCGGTGGACAGGATACGCTCATCTATTGCTAACATCTGGTGCCATCACCGTATCATGGCGATTCATGTATACATGCTAAGATATGATATAGTCGAAATCATACAATCGCATTTGCTATTAGCAGGGACAATCATTATAAATACAGAGAAGGCGTGATCGTTTCTTTTTACTCCAACTCTGTTTTCTCTTTTTCAGTTTGACCACGTGATCAATGATGCTATCGCGTACACGTTCAGATTGTTGATTTTCTCCTCTGGTACAAAAACCCCTGTAATACGATTTAATTATTTCCCAGTCACGTTAAATCTCACATTTGTCATAACCGGTTATTATTGGTTCATAGTAAATGCACAACTCTTCATGTTCAGCTCAAATATTTTATTACAGATTAATAACTGTGGTACATGTCTATACTGAGTAAAATGGACACATCATGAAAATACTATCATCGTTTTAACCCTTGTGACGTCAGCCTATAGCATCGGTCAATGTAGATGCACAGGTTTTCTGCAGTGACGTCATAGAGGGATGACTCACTGGGGTTAAACGGGAAACAATTTATCACGATGTTCCTTAAATTGTTGATATAAACCTGACATGGTAGTGTACCATCATTTGATACCCCAAGTGCTTCACCTAGGCCTTTAATGAGAGGAGTTCCTAGTGAAACGACGTAACTGCACTTATATATCATGGTTTGAGTTCTGACCTTTGTATATAATGTTTGAAGTAAACCCCTCCTATATTCCGATCAACATCAGGACTGCCAAGATTGTGTTCGGCAGGTAATGGTGAACCATTGAAATGTAAGTGTAATTTCTTGTTCGTTGGCCATTTGAGAGTTCTATTTCAACTACCCAAGATTTACATCTAGGGTAGCGTATCTTGGGGACTTTCCCCTAGAGTAGCGCATCAAAAACGATAACAATGGTGAAACACAATTATCAAAATGTATTTCACATGTACTTAAACGATCGCAAAAAACACGGTCGTGATAAGGTAACCCGCCAATCGAGCCAAACACACACCCCAACCTTAGGAAGATCACTTTTGGGAACGTTCACATGTACTTGCCCCTAAAACTACTACTACTACTACTACTGGTGAATTTCTAAAAAGTTAATATTCAGTGAGAAGTATACCGGCCGGCCTAACGGCATTTCACAATTCAAAGGTATCGGGTTGGACCTTTCAACACAAAGCGTTAACTGGTTATAATTCTCTAAATTCGGCTCCAGTCTGTCGGTCAGCTGTGCTTAAAAGTCTATATGCCTATATTCATTTCATTTTCAAACCTACCTTCACATCTTGTGTACCTGTACCCGTCAATTTGTGGTTTTCTTAACGTGCATAGTAAGATTGCTTGCTTGGAGATGGTATAGGGTGAGTTACGTTACTTTAAAAGTTCAGCAAATGAAAATGTAATTGTTTAACTTCAGCAATGTTTGTCTGTAGAGCCCCTGTATGACGCCAACCACTGATGTACTTCGTCTAAATTGTAGAACTCAGGACCTCTTCCCCCCTCATATGCTATAACTCCATCTTTGATGATGTACAGTCGCTCAAAGTAGCCGCCATATTGGATGTTGGCGGTGTTGGCAATATTGTCCACAACGATTGGGCAGACTGGATTCTTCTCAGCCAATATCATTGCAGCCTTGCGGCGGTCATCCAGTGACTTATGAGAGGCAATCTGAACATTGTACTCGAAGCGCCAACCATCAGATGCATGCGCCTCTTCAATATAAATGATCAGAAAATCGGCGATGTTGTCAAACTCAGACGCCACGGCGTTGTAGCGCTTGAATTTGCTCATGAACGGTCGTCAGGTGCAGCTCCCAAAGTTGACCACCAGGGGGCGCCCTTGTTTCTGAAAGTCCAGCAATCGGTGGATCTGTGTTCCGTCAAGTGAGTGCAGTCGAGGATTGGGGGCAAGATGGTGGAGGAAGGCGTCCTTATACAAGTCTAGATACGCTGCACGGAATATAGCTTTGAAGTGACTCAGCTTCAGAACAGAACGATCGTAGTCTCTGGCAAGGTCTTCACTGGTCGCCCCCTCTACTTTTGTTGTAGTAACAACAACAATGTGTTTCCCGAATACTCTTTTGAAGATTGTAGAGACGAGGTAGACCCAGAGACGGAGTATTATTCCCAGCAGGCGCCACAGCAGTACCGTCTGTCTTACCACGCCCATCGTACTGAAAGTTAAACAGCGAATTTGACTTAATTGTGCATGTGTTCAATCGAAACATAGTAAAAGAATATCGGGGTTCTTAACCAATTTTACTGAACATGACAGCCAATACAAATCCGTGGTGTACTGGTTAGAGCGTCCGCCCGGAGAGCGGAAGGTCGCGGGTTCGATCCCCGGCTGCATAACACCAAAAGACGTTAAAATATGGTACTTGTTGGTCCCTGCCTGGCGCTCGGCATTAATGGGTACAACAAGGACTGATCGGCCCGGAGTCAGTAAAATGTGTCTGAGTTGGGTATTCATGCTTAACAAGCGGCATGGTATCTCAGTGGGCTTGCACTATAAAACCAGGTAAATTCTGGGCTAGTACAAGTAGCTACACATACACACGCACGCACGTTGTCATATGAGCGAAATAATGTTAAGCACGACGTTAAACCCCATTTTACCCCACCTCACCTCAACTGAAAGAGAGTTAGGTGTGTATTTACGCATGTCATTCTCACCGTATTTTGCCGTAGTGTTCAAACGTACGTTAGGTGCTTTATCAGTATTTCTATAAACTCCTAAACTTAAACACTTCAAAGTTCAGTTTTCATTGACAAGCACTGCTACCTGCAAATAAGATCATATTTCACCAAGCAATGCCAACCAGAAACAAGTATGTGGCATTATGCAGTGTGCGTTCTCAAACCTTTCTCGGTCAATAAGTCGCATATTGTATGACTGTACACGCACGTCACCTCAGTAATGTATCATTATCTGACAGTTGACATATGTGTGTTGGCCAGGTGAAATGTATCACTATTCTTGGAGTCCTACTCTGTTACAAAGAGGGCGATATTGCAATTGTCCCCACACAATTGGTGGGAATTCATTTAATCAGGTGGACAATTTGACCGGTGAAAATTTACAGTGGACAGAATTTATATTTGAACTGAACAGTTGCAATATGAAACGTATGAAAAGTGTGACTTTCATGTGTCATATGCATGAAACGGAAAAATGTCAATTCGTTGATTACACATGAAAATGTATAAGGACTGATTGAGGAAATCTAGTATGCATTAAGAATACAATGATATATCTATTTCGGATTTCGTACTGTATTTGCCAGAAATTCCCAGCATATTGCAGTTGACATGGATTAAGTACTTATACGCCATCATCGTCTCTGTATAGCCCTTCATGTTGAGGGGATTACCTCCAGACAGCCACACACAACACGTGGAGCTGCAGGTATGAATGCAAGCTATGTCGGTCAAGTCCAGTAATCTACATTCCTTTGACAACCGTCCAAAGGATACACGACTTGACCCACATTCTACATTGCCTGGTTGTTGTTTAACGCTGCACTCAGCAATATCCAGGTTTACCACGTCGGTCATAAATAATCTGAGTTGGGCAATTGAAAGAGGGTGGTTATAACTATCGAGATACGCAAATGAGATATGATGACAAGGTCAGCGAGTCTGACCATCAGACACCGCTGGTCCCCTTTATGACATGCATGGGTGGCTGAAGATATACTTCAGCCATAAGTTAGTTAAAGCAATTTCTTGGTTTTGTTCCTTTGAAGATTTGCAAATCTACTTATTATTGATTCCACTTGTCTGCAATTCATTCTCAGAACATGGCAACTGGCTGGGATAGAATGGGTTTCAGAACGATTTCAACTTTCCAATCGTCACCTTTGTGTCAAGAAATATTTCAACAGCTGCGGCTACATTGCATACATTTCGAACCTTCGAGTACGGAGGTCTTTCTTGGGCGATTTCGAAGAACACCACATTGCTCAAACATTGTTTGACCAAAGTTTCATCATACAAGGCCTACGTAATACTTTCTAATGTTTTATTACCCGTGAAGATCCGGGGTAGAATAGGTCTTCAGCAACCCATGCTTGCCGCAAAAGGCGACTATGCTTGTCATAAGAGGTTCGCTGACTTGGTTGACACATGTCATCGGTTCCCAATTACGCAGATCGATGCTCATGCTGTTGATCACTAGATTGTCTGGTCCAGACTCGATTATTTACAGACCGCCGCCATAAAGCTGGAATATTGCTGAGTGCGGCGTAAAACTAAACTCACTTACTCACTCTTATGTTTTATGGAACACGTGTGGAGGTCATTATCAAATATGGCACATCGGTGACAAACCATTCTCTTCCCCACAGAGGTTACTTGTCATATCTTCCTACGAACCTCTGTTCTAATACGGCCATATTTCCCGGTTCTCGTAAAATCCCCTAGCGGCAAAAGATCGCAACACGAATTATCTCCCTTCTTTCTATCCAATCAGAACACGTGTTACATCGACTTAGATTCAACTTGACTAACACAAGCAAATGTGAGGGCACAAATATCCCCCCATCTGCCGGGGACTTGTGTTGATGTTACACACAAGACGTTTAATGGCTAGCTTGTCCGTTGTCAACGAGGGCGATGGAGACGCCACTGATCCGCCATAACATGACTGAGTTCTGTCTAGCAGAAACGTTTGCGCATCGCGCAGGGGAAGAGGTTTAGTTTTCTCGAAGTATACGGAAATTACCGAGGCCTTGCGAATGATCACTTTTGAAACAACGTCGCTGATTGCACAACTAAATCTGATTGCCTCCAATCACGAGTCTTGAACGCTCACACCATGAAAGGGCCGTATTAGAACAGAGGTTACGTAGGAAGATATGACAGGAGTAACCTCTGTGGGAAGAGAATGGTGACAAACATGATATCCTTGTGTTTATTTATTGTAGATGAACAATTGACTTGCCTTTGCGTGTGTATGTGCCGGGTGTCCTCGGTGGACAGGATACGCTCACCTATTGCTAACATCTGGTGCCATCACCGTATCATGGCGATTCATGTACACATGCTAAGATATGATATAGTCGAAATCATACAATCGCATTTGCTATTAGCAGGGACAATCATTATAGATACAGAGAAGGCGTGATCGTTTCTTTTTACTCCAACTCTGTTTTCTCTTTTTCAGTTTGACCACGTGATCAGTGATGCTATCGCGTACACGTTCGGATGGTTGATTTTCTCCTCTGGTAAAAAAAACCCTGTAATACGATTCAATTATTTCCCAGTCACGTTAAATCTCACATTTGTCATAACCGTTTATTATTGGTTCATAGTAAATGCACAACTCTTCATGTTCAGCACAAAAATATTTTATTACAGATTAAAAACTGTGGTACATGTCTATACTGAGTAAAATGGACACATCATGAAAATACTATCATCGTTTTAACCCTTGTGACGTCAGCCTATAGCATCGGTCATTGTAGATGCACAGGTTTTCTGCAGTGACGTCATAGAGGGACGACTCACTGGGGTTAAACGGGGAACAATTTATCACGATGTTCCTTAACTTGTTGATATAAACCTGACATGGTAGTGTACCATCATTTGATACCTCAAGTGCTTCACCTAGGCCTTTAATGAGAGGAGTTCCTAGTGAGACGACGTAACTGCACTTATATATCATGGTTTGAGTTCTGACCTTTGTATATAATGTTTCAAGTAAACCCCTCCTATATTCCGATCAATATCAGGACTGCCAAGAGTGTGTTCGGCAGGTAATAGTGAACCATTGAAATGTAAGTGTAATTTCTTGTTCGTTGGCCATTTGAGAGTTTTATTTCAACTGGGGTGGAGCATCCACAAAGATTTACATCTTGGGTATCGTATCTTGGGGAATTTCCGCTAGAGTAGCGCATCAAGAACGATAAGAATGGTCAGTGTAAAATGTTGACTTTCATTAATTGGAAGATTGTCTTGATTTCACCTTTTCTTACTTAAACGATCGCTATCTGAAAAAACACAATTATCAAAATGTATACACGTGATAAGGTAAAATACGGTCGTGGGCACCCCGCCAAACAGACACCCCCAACCTTAGGAAGATCACTTTTGGGAACGTTCACATGTACTTGCCCCTAAAACTACTACTACTACTACTTGTGAATTTCTAAAAAGTTAATATTCAGCGAGAAGTATACCGGCCGGCCTAACGGTATTTCATAAAATCAAAGGTAGGGTTGGACCTTTCAACACAAGGCGTTAACTGGTTATAATTCTCTAAATTCGGCTCCAGTCTGTCGGTCTGCTGTGCTTAAAAGTCTATATGCCTATGTTCATTTCATTTTCAAACATACTTTCACATCTTGTGTACCTGTTCCCGTCAATTTGTGGTTTTCTTAACGTGCATAGTAAGATTGCTTGCTTGGAGATGGTACAGGGTGAGTTACGTTACTTTAAAAGTTCAGCAAATGAAAATGTAATTGTTTAACTTCAGCAATGTTTGTCTGTAGAACCCCTGTATGACGCCAACCACTGATGTACTTCGTCTAAATTGTAGAACTCAGGACCTCTTCCCCCCTCATATGCTATAACTCCATCTTTGATGATGTACAGTCGCTCAAAGTAGCCGCCATATTGGATGTTGGCGGTATTGGCAATATTGTCCACAACGATTGGGCAGACTGGATTCTTCTCAGCCAATATCATTGCAGCCTTGCGGCGGTCATCCAGTGACTTGTGAGAGGCAATCTGAACATTGTACTCGAAGCGCCAACCATCAGATGCATGCGCCTCTTCAATATAAATGATCAGAAAATCGGCGATGTTTGCAAACTCTGACGCTATGGCGTTGTAGCGCTTGAATTTGCTCATGAACGGTCGTCAGGTGCAGCTCCCAAAGTTGACCACCAGGGGGCGCCCTTGTTTCTGAAAGTCCAGCAATCGGTGGATCTGTGTTCCGTCAAGAGAGTGCAGTCGAGGATTTGGGGCAAGATGGTGGAGGAAGGCGTCCTTATACAAGTCTAGATACGCTGCACGGAATATAGCTTTGAAGTGACTCAGCTTCAGAACAGAACGATCGTAGTCTCTGGCAAGGTCTTCACTGGTCGCCCCCTCTACTTTTGTTTTTGAGAGAACAGGGCTTCGTTTAGGTACCTTGAAAACTCTTGTGAAGATGGTGGAGACGAGGTAGACGCAGAGACGGAGTATTATCCCCAGCAGGCGCCACAGCAGCACCGCCTGTCTTCCCACGCCCATCTTACTGAAAGTGAAACAGCAAACATATCTGAAATGTGTGTAGGTATCCAAATGAAACCTAAAGCAGTGGACATAAATGGTCAATACACTGACTCCAGCAGAAATATTATTTTCACTATTTTGTTGGTACCCTTCCATCATTACATGTATTTCTATGAACTTTTAAAATGTGAAAATTATGACAATAATTATGAAAGTTAATGATATCGTTTTGCCGTAAAGGTTGGCAACTCTGCTCTTGAAATGATGTAACCTGCGGTAGATCCTCAAGCACCGTGTGAGTGTAGACTATCAACTAGTCTCTGACATGAACATATTTACTGAAAAAAGTTCATAGTAAAAAAAAATATAATATAATGAAAAGGAGCCCTGAGACTTTCTTCATTCCTGAAGCTGAGGAAATCTAGACTTGCCACATTTTGTAGACTTGCGTGGGCTTTCTTGGATATATTTGCTTCAGGGTCTGTACGACAGACTACGTGTGAGTGGTACAGGTATGTGTGGCACTTTGGAACGCCATTCTTGTGATATGTCATCATATGATTTACAACTGACTCTTCCCAAGTTTCTGTTGTTTGTTCTTTAAATCAGATTGTTTCCAAAATGCTGACGGAAACAGAAACACAAGAGTGAAACAGAAATTCAAATTGAAAAATGAAGCTAATATTCGGCGTCCGGACAGCTATCAGCTATCGGTCAGTCAATAAGAGTTCCGACTTCCTTCTGTGGTTGAAAACGCAATGTACCAGCGGATATTCGAAAAATGTAAGGGGCAGTTATTGTTGAAATAGGAATTACTGATATCACAAATTCAGTGTATGATAACTAAAATTCATAACAATTTTATATCACAAAATTAATTATTGATATCGCAAAATTTAATGTAGGACATAAAATACTTACGACTTTAAGACATCAAAAATTTGATACATTGATATGAACAAATACGTTACTGGATATCATAAAATTCATTTCCAGATGTTAAATTTTCATGTATGACATTTATTTATATCAATTACTCATTTTCTGATCGATAATTGAATTATTGCTATGGTAATTATTTCATGATATCAATAATCAATTCATGCTCTTCTTTATTCGAAATTGGTTCAGCAAAAACTCATTTTGTGATCTATAATTGAATTATTGGTATGATAATTATTTTATTACTTCAATAATTATTCATATCAATAATTATCTCTCACAACTTGTGAGAGAGTGACTTAGATTCAACGCCATTTTTAATGGTATTCCAATTTCAAAATCATCAGCAGCAGCAGCTTTATGTTGGATGAAAGGACGAAGAGATGCCGGTTTCAGACGTTTATCACTTTGGTGCAACCTACGAGGACGAATGACGTGCTTACAAACATGGAAACACAATCTGGTCTAACCTATACATCCACAATCACGGGGCTATTACTTGTACAGCGGCGCCTTGTCCCGTGCCCCGTGCCCCGTGCCCCGTGCCAACTGAGATGTTGGATGGACATAATAAGATAATAGTAACTGCTTGTTGTACAATGTTCAGCACATTACCTACTAAATACTTATTGCGACATAACTACAGATATGTGCATACAGAGAAGTATATGTCAGGTATGAAAGAGAGGAATGCAAACGTGGAGAAATAATACCGACCTCGACAACTAACACCTGGAATGACGATAGTTGTTCCCATCAGCAGTGGATTTCTGTGTCGTTCAAGAGGTCCTCCCCGATGTGACTCTAGGTCACAGACCGTTCTATTTTTAGGTCACCACAATTGATGTAAAGGGCGAAGTAATATGCTGGTCATATACATGCGTGATCGTGACCGATGAAGGTGAAGGTTGTACTGTATACGGATTTAAACTGTGTTACTACCTCTGACCTCTTGGTATACGTGTTAAAACGCGAGTGTTGGGGAATTAGCTCGCTTGGCAAGAGGTATGACAATACCAACCCACACACAACACAACACCTGAGTAAAATAAACAAGGAGTTTATTACACAGCAGTCACAGGATGATTTCACATAATCAGTCAATAATGGTATGGTTTATAATTAATTATTAGAACATGTTTACCATGTAATCAGCTATCAAAGTAAATAAACATTACATGTAGATTCGTTACACACGACACATACTACATTAATCCCGACACATTTTCCAATGTTCACAACAATAGTTCAGTACACTACACATCACCACAGTGGGGGTTGTAACTTATAGTTAATGTATTTACAATAGGTTAAAGTTAACATAGAATAGCAACAGTATGTCAAAGTAGAAGGAAGTAAAGTTTCTTACCTGAGTGAATTTACTAGACAGCCACCCCTTGATTTGTGACTGTCATCCGTAATATATATTTATTCTAGCTATCGCAAATAATCGCGTTTACAGATAAAACTTACGATAACGGTGTTATTGTGATCGTGAGATTGTGTCATTTAGTTGGACCGAAGCATCGATGGCCAGTCGCGAGTATGCCACAAAGGTATATGTGGCACGGACGTGATTTGACCAACGTGGAATACAAACAGCCGTAAAGACAGATAAACGTAATGCACCTTGGTTCTGTTAGCTTTAGAGATACTGGTCCCGGATTAAGTCCGATGCTCGTTATCAGTGTGACCCTTCGCAGGTTTAAGATTGAGGAACGTAGTCGGTTAGTCTGTAATATTTCCAGTTTTCAATAACGCATATCGTTATAAAATATTGGTAAAACTTTGTCTAGTTTTTCCGTGTTGATAGTATCCTCCTGTTCTTTTAAAATTTCGTCCCGAGATTTCAATAAACAAAAATGACATCATACAGTACATTACGAGTGATGACTAAATTGCGGTACGGAAACAAGTGGCACCGCGGATGCATGATGCCTGACGAGAACAGGTGTACAGACATTGATAAATAGTCAAATGATCGTAATGGTTTTAGATAAGATATACAGGAACGTACAAGTAAACACATAAGTCGACTTGCCAACATCGGCGTAGCAAAATATAACAATTACAAGTTCAACGTAATTTCTGACGTGTACACACAAAACACAAGTGAGCGGCTGTCCAGCTCGTACAGACAAAACACTGGACGTTTCCAACCGAGCGACAAAATCCTGCTCGCGGTTAACCATATAGTCGGAATACCTGACTGATAAGTACATATATGATATATAGAAACAAAAACATAATGTGCGCAATGCGTCGTCGTTTGCATATGAATGTAATATCTCACGGAAACAGTAAGATCCTTGAAATTGGGAGTCTTATATTGTGAGCCTAGACTCGGCAAGGCTAACAGATGTTGTGATCTGCTCTAAACAAAGTAAGGACATGGAGAGAAGGGAACCTAACCAACTTCAAAAGCCTAAACTGACATATAATGAAAAATTCATTCAAGTAAATATGGCTCGACGATATTTCTACGAATCGTTTATGTGAGCCAGGGACCCGAAGTTACTTACTTCCGCCAGTATCATAGTTAAGAGTAAACTCACAGAGGCGAAACGAAGTACATGTAGTACGATACAGACTGGGTATACAGTCTCCACTAAATAGCTCGGTTAATATGCCTAGCAATGGGTCTCCATAACATTGGTATTCTTGTACAGAAGCTGTTACGACAGGGAACGATATGTCATATCTTTCATAATGATTACTTATAAATTTGATGCTCACATGTTCAAAATGGATGACATGAAAATGTAAGCAGGAAATCATATTGTATTGAATAGCTTATGGAAAGCTATTATCTATAGTGCCGGTTATAGACCTACAAAGTATGAGAAAAATCCTGGAAACCGGGAGTCTGGTTTGTATGGCAAGACTCGGATCCCGCAGATCTGTAATATTTCCAGTTTTCAATAACGCATATCGTTATAAAATATTGGTAAAACTTTGTCTAGTTTTTCCGTGTTAATATACGTGTAAACAGAGTCGGTTGATAAACAAGATACCTGACAGGCATTATGTTCGATGACATACAAAACAACAACACGTACAAAATAGTTTTGCCCCTTCATTATCTTTTGTCACATAATACATATACGAGGGGTGTCCCAAACGTTTCCGGTCTTCCAAACTAAACGGCGACCTAGTTGTTGAACTGACTTTTCAACATAATCCCCCTTCAGTTCAATGCACTTGTTCGCCCGTTTCTCCAGCATATTCAACCCGTCTGAAAACCATCAGTGACCAAACAACTCTACAGAAGTGATGACCTCCTCATCTGTCTTAAATTTGCGGCCCCTGGTGACAGATTTGAATTGAGAGAAGCGAAAGAAATCAGAAGGGTCAAGATCTGGAGAATAGGCTGGGTGAGGGAGGATCTCGTAGCCACAGTTCTATGCAGCAATCACTGCAACTTGGGCCGTGTGAACTGGAGCATTGTCCTGGAGGAGCCAGACACCTCGGAGAAGTTTACCTCGACGCTTTTCTCTGATCTGAGAGACACAAAGTCTGCAGTCTAGACTACCAGTTGTCCGACTTCCATCGTGGAAGTTGCGTTGGCTGAGCGGGTTAGACGGCTGACTTTGTATGCTGGCGAGTAGGTGCCTGACTCTGAGGGTGTGGGTTCGAATCCCGCATGGGACTCAACCCAACCAAAGTACTAGAATCTGTACTTCACTAAGAAAGCGTAATCCCAAACATAACATATGTTACATTTGATGACTTTCTAAATGGCATTATGTAATCAACAACTTGATCTTAGCAATGTACAGGTTAAGTGTCTGCCCCCTAACACAACTTCAGTTCTCCAACCTCTAGATCAGGGTGCCATCAGTGCATTCATGGCAAGATATCGCAGATACCTATTAAAATCACTTATTTGCCGCATGGATGAAGTGCCAGTGAGTTGTGTAAGGCAATCACTGCGTTAATTCACTGGATCAACAACGCAACCTAAACTTATTCATGTAGACAATAGCAAAACGGCTAAGCCTAAACATTTTAATCTCGATAAAAACAGCAACGTTTCGCGCAAATGTTGACACAGATAAGGTAAATAAACTTACAAATCCTGTCCGTATCCAGCGGAGATTTATCGATTATCAACGCGAGCTCTGATAGCTTCGCGCACGTGCTTGCTAATTCTGCACGTGAAACATTCGGGACACGGAAAACACAAAATACACATCCCGTTATCGTAAGAGTGAGTGAGTATGGTTTTACGCCGCTGTTAGCAATATTCCAGCAATATCACGGCGGGGGACACCAGAAATGGGTTTCACATATTGTACCCATGTGGGGAATCGAACCCGGGTCTTCGGCGTGACGAGCAAACGCTTTAACCACTAGGCTACCCCACTGCCCCCGTTATCGTAAGAACAAGCCGTGGCTCGATACAAAACGTGGAAAATTCAGAACAAATCCATAAAGCAAAAAGGAATGTTAAGCAAAATAGATCCCAGTCTAATCTTCAAAAACTAAGTCACCGAATCGATAGCTAGCAAGAAATGGCTTGATGAACATATTAGAAAAATAAGATATCTCTTGAAAATATGTTCAGAGAAAAAATCACCGAAAGAATAAAGACAGCAATCCGCAAGACAACATTGCGATGCCTGATATGAATACTGTAAAAATCTAGATAAAGAAAACTATAGCGAACCTGAATTAAATTTCGAAGAAAGTATCCCTGATTTGGAATATGCTATGCATATCTGAATTTACCTTTGCATTGTTTATTATCGGCATTTGATGTGATGATAACGCCAGTTTTAAGATATGGATCGGAAGTGGGGGATTTGAAGAACTTGACCTAATAGAGAATATCTATCCAAAATTTCTGAAACGTGTATCTGGACTAAGAAAATCTACGCCGCATTTCATGGTCTACGGCAGAATTTGCAGAACTCCAATATATATATAAAATTACCAACGTATGTTATCGAGACGATGCCGAGCAGTAATTGCTGCCAATGGTGGCCATACAAAGTACTCACTTTGACGCCTCCTTGTGAACTCAAGTAAACAGAAACGCAACAATAATGGCTGCTGTTGTGTAGGGAATTCAAGACGTGTGAATTTGCACCTTTTTACCATTTAAATTACAGTACATGAAATAATTAAACTAACGCAATATATTTCATTTTTGAAGAGTGTGTGTGTATGTATATACATCGACAGATAGACGAATGTTTTTGATGATGATTTGGAGAGTTATATATGTTACAATTCTGAATGGGTTAACTCAGTTAGAGTCTGTCATTGTTTAATAGAGGATATGAAAAAAATCCAATCATTATCTGCATCTAAGGCCGCATATATACTCTTCAAAAAAAGAAACTTGACATGCTGTTTTGGAGTTTACTTACTAAGTGCATATAACTGATTCATTGCTCAGTAACAGCAAAATCATCACTTTACAAATTTCCAAAACATGATTATCCAGAAAGTGTTTGGTAAAACCACAGAGAGCTATTAAAGCCACTTGGTCAGGGTAAAATGTCAGTATCTGGCGTGACCACCATGAACATCGATAACAGCGTGGCAGCGGTGACCCATAGAAGAAAGAAGATGCCGAATGCTGTCTTGAGGAATGTTTTGATACACTTGCTGAAGTGCTGTGTGCAGTTCTTGTAGTGTCTGAGGCGGCGGATTACGCTGGCGCAAGCGTCGATCAAGAGTATCCCATAGATGTTCAATGGGGGACAAATCCGGTGATCGAGAAGGCCAAGGTAACAACTGAACATTGTTTCGCTGGAGGAAGACCTGTCAAACACGTGCAACGTGAGGTCGAGCATGGTCATGCTCCAAAGATCACGTTGATGTAGGGAACGACGTGACGTTGAACTGGTCTTCTGGCAAAAAAAGTCTGGCTTTCCATAGCCAATTGTGCACTGTCTGGTCGGAGATTCGGAGCAGTCCAGGAATTTGGATTGTTGTGGATGATGCGGCCGTGGTGTTTGAACGAAAATGTCTCAACCGGATGTAGCGATCCTGGGCGGCGGTGGTAACTCCAGGTCGACCTGACCCGGCTCTGACATTATCACTCCCAGTATTTTTGTATCGGGTCCATAGGTTTGAGAAGGTCTGTTTGGACACACTGAAGTGACTTGCCACATCATGCTGCGATGTCCGTCCTTGCAAACGGTTAATGGCGTTGTGTCGTTGAGCTTCTGTCAGTCTTTTCATTCTCTTGTCGTCTATAGTGGCTTAAATCAATGCATGTGGAGTACCACTGATGTGGCTTTTTTAAAGCCTACATTCATAGGCTTCAGCTCGGGGTGATACACAATTTCATGATGCTCGTGCATTTCATGTAGGGTGCGTTTTAGTGATTCACTACAGACGTGAGTGTAGCGTTACGTTTTTGTTAAACGTTTAATTTTGTCATCAGCAACCATTCCCCCACATGATGGGATTGAACATGTATTGATTTGTGTCAAATATTTTCCTAAAATTCAAATTTGTCCTATGTCAAGTTTCTTTTTTTGAAGAGTAATATTCCCTCATACCCCACAGCAACCAAGCTCAAAATAGCGAACAGATACCATCCAAACCACCTGTACTTCCACCCGTTTCCATCACTCCCGGCAAACTTCATTATCCAAATTCATTAAAAAAATTAGGATACAAATCTTACGCCCCGCTCTTTGGTCATGATCAACCATCTTTCGTCCAAACACGGCCTTGCGTGACTGTGCATCATGTCGGGAAGCGCACGTAAAATCCCCAATCCATCATCAAAACTATCGTCTATCTCTCCTCTATACACTTTGGAAGGCTTGGCAAAGCCCATGGAAAGTACTGCCATACATTCCCATCTGTTAGACATTCAAGACAGTTCATTTGTGGTTTTGTCAAATTTATGAATTTGACAAATGATTTTTCAAAGAGTAGTCTGCCGTGCAGCTGGAGAATGTTGCGAAAGCTCTGACACGGCCTGTAATGGGATGTCCTTTGACCTCTGGTTCGCAGTAGCGAGAACAAAAATCTGATCTCTATGCGACTGACATATACCCCAAGGGATGCTGCTACAGCGCCTTATCTTACCAACATGTGTCAAATAGCCGTTGTGAAAGAATTCAAACAGCTGTTCGATCGAGCTAACTGTATTGTATCACGTGACATTGATTCTTGTAGTTATTTGTTTCGTATCGGCTTATAAAGGTTCAGGGTCCTTCTCAGGAACCCACTCGCAGCCTGTTTTGTTTCGTGGCTTGGTATAAATGATATATTCCACAACTCAGAATATATACTTCCCACTAGGCTGATTTCATGGTATTTCATCAAGGTCACGTAAACCTGTCACATGTAAACACTCTGATGGATTACAAATATATATTTGTCGTGTGTTACGTGAAATGTCGATAAAAAGGTAAAAAGGAACATAATGAGGCTCACAAGTTAATCCGACGTGGTAGTTTCCTATATCAGCATGAGATGCCCATCGCTCCTGTAATACTACATCCTGCGTATGTCGCCTATGTAATCTCTGCAAGATAAAGTCCCGTCTCACCGGTACAATCTGTCCAAGTTGCATATCTGTCCTATCTTATGTTTTACTGTTGATCGAATTGTTTGTTGTTGTCGCCGAACTCAGCATATTCCGATATGACGGCGGTCTGTAATTATTCGTGCCTGGACCAGACAATCCAGTGACAGACATATACTTTCATATGGCGATAATTCAACACGTAGCGGATGGTACCCGTCAAGTGTCAAGTCCAATGTCAGATACCATCAGATGCTGGGGGCTAGAAATTGATACACAATATAATACATATTAATCTGCAAAGCCGTTTTCTATCAACAGGCAAACATTAAACACAGTGGTGTGAAACTATCTTTCGTGGACATTGAAATCTTGATTTATCTCTTCAATCCGAACGCAGTGTATGAGAGTGACATATTGTTTAGTCTGAACATATGACCAAAAGAAATACGCTCCATTCAATTCTTTAATCAGAAAGAGCATACATGTCGATGTAAACAATCACACCTAAAGCAGAAGACATGAATATAATTGTTGGACACGCAAAATACTCTAGAAGTTGACAAGAACTGCAATATTTAAGAACAAAAGAAGAAAAGTCGAGAAAATAATAATGAACAAATCAAGAACGACGAATATGACGAATACATTCCACAATGGACCCCCCCTGCACGTGCCGGCATGTCATTCTCCCCAGTAATGTGTATAGTCACTTCAGTCTCTGCAGCTGTGGTCAGTTTGCAACAGCGACGTCACACTCTATACAACATTCACCTGAGTGGAATAAGATGCAGGTTGCCGTGACCCAACCATTAGTGTCAGTACAATACACAGTATTTGTTAACTTTATCAGACATCTTAAAAAATGTATAAATTCTGATTACCTTTCTGCTATTGCAACAACAACTACCCTACGTCTAGGCATTGTATGAGACACAGCAGAATATCTTTGAACAGTATTATAATGGTTCCCCTATTGAGTGCCTCTGTATTTTGACAACCAGTCATACACCTCTTCTATTTTATACCCAACTGGTCCTCGCATGCCCTCATAAACAATCACTCCGTTTAGCACTATGTACAGACGCTCGAACAGACCGCCGTAGTGCTTGTTAGCTTCATCGTCCATGTTGTCCACCACAATCTCACAATCGCAGGGTTCCAGTTCACCCAGGCGCCGAGCTGCTGCGACCCTGTCTTCAAGGGTGTTGTGACGATGGATATCTATATTGTTTCTGAAGAACCACCCATCAGTAGGATGGGCTTCTTCAATGTACACAATCAGAAAATCCGCTAGGTTGGTAAAGTCAGCAACGATCTCTCTGAATCTCGCCATCTTTACCATAAACGGGGGTCAGGTGCAGCTACCGAAGTTCAACACCAGAGGGCGATCTTTCTTCCCGAAATCTAGAAGTTTCTTTCGTGTCTTTCCGTCCATTGGAATCACTTCCGGGTTGGGAGCCTTGCCGTTGAGAGAAGCTGTTTTTAGAAGATCCATGTATCTACATCGGAAGTGGGCACTCAGAAATGTGAAGCTGTGAATGCTTTGTGAGTAATCGTCCCTGCTGAGCCCAGAGCCGTCCATCACGGAGCCGATCCTGTCAACCAGTTCCTTGCGGTAGGACAGGAAGAGACGGGCCAATATTTGTTGCATGAAAAAGAACCCAACCATGTGGCAGCACAGGAAAAATACTCGGAGCATCAAGGTCAAGGATGCCGTTAGAGACGCCATCGTTTTGCCTTTTCTCTGAAAATGTGAAGTCTACGTGAAATAGTGCATGTATGATACACCCGGAAGTAGTTTCAGCATTTGTTAAAAGGCCTCGATATTGAATCTCACAATGTTTCAAAAAGGGAAGCGGCTTACTTTACTGTTATGTTGCGCATTTAATTTTAATTGTTAAAAACATGATAATGATGTGGTTGGAGGCGAGATGAATAGTGCCCACCTGCACAACATACAACGGATATTGACCTTAGATAGTGCTTCCACCCTCCAGAATATCCACCCACTCCCTTCCCACCGCGCCTCACCCTTCCCATCCCTTCTTATTGATTATTCTTTCTTAGAACAATCTGTGGTTCAAAGCAACACTCTTTTTTGCTTATTGACATTACTGTCTGTTCCAGGGGCTTATTTCATATTTCATTATATCATAGGATACATTCGTCGAATGTTTATATAGTTTATTACGTCTGAACACGTGTATACATAAACAATGCCCTTAGAAAGTGGTCAAATATAACATATGTTATATTTGGGATTACACTCACTTAGTAAAGTACAGATTCTAGGACTTTCTTTAATTTGTATTCTATTTTTTGTTGTTGTTGTTTTGTTTTTTTGGTGGGGGAGGTTGAGTCCCATCCGGGATTCGAACCCACACCCTCAGAGTCAAGCACCTCATCGACAGGACACAAAGTCAGCCGCCTAACCTGCTCAGCCACCGCAAATTACAGGACTCATCCCATGGAGTGGGACTCAACCCCCCAAAAAGTATTAGAATCTGTACATTACTAAGAAAGTGTAATCCCAAATATACCAACCATCAAAAGTTTAGACTCACTAATGTAAATGTAGCCACTCACTTCAGTCAACTGTTATGAACTATATTTTGTAAAATAATCCATACAGTTTAAAGGTACTGTTTATACATGAGCTGATGTAGTGTAAAACAAATTCGTGACGTTGAAAAGTTTATTGTCATGTGTTCAATAAATGATGAAACTCGGTGAAAAATGGCGATTCTTTTATCAAAACTTTGCACCCAAACGCAGCTGTTCACATGCATATTTGCACATTTTCAGCAATTTGATGCATGATCCTCGTGCAATTAATCTGCATAAGGTTTGCACGTTTCCCTCAAGTTAGTGGAGAAATTCATCTTCGTTGTAACCATATGTACATACATAACATATAGTGATTGATTTAAGCGAGTCTAAACTTTTGATGGGTAGTATAACATGTCTTACAACGTTTGTAATTTTTTTTATAAAGTTCAAATACTGAGATACGGGATACTGAGCCCCCTCGCCAGTGAGGTACGTACGTGGGATTTTATTTGAAAAAATGTGACAATATATGTAAATGCAGTTGTCTTACTTTACATGGTACACAGGACCTATAGTTTGCCTACCATCACCAAGCCCATCTACTGACACGCACACACAGGCTTGCATAGAGTATTCACACGTCATACACGGGGACACGTTGTCAACTAAAATACACGGCACATTTAATGCAGTGGAATTTGAACAGAAAGATATACTTTAAATACAGGCTGCAATACTACAATAAGGAGACCGGGGGTTAACGATATGTTGTTCCAACCGGCCACCAGTTGGGTTGCTATTTCAACATATGTAAGGTTGGTCATTCCCGATCTCACTCCAGATAATGGAGCGTGGATTTCGGGACATGACGATGAACATATGAAATGTTTAGGAGAAAAGATGAACTTCAACGCGTGCTTACGCTACTGATGACTGTACACATGATCTGGTATGTACTTACAATTTGAAATCTACTTTCAAAACATCAGATGCCCATCGCCCCTTGTAACTACAGCCTGTTGATCGTCACCCCAGGTAAATGTCATGACATGACATTTCTCCCTATGGCAATGACCTCATCCGGCTTAGTTTTATGACTCCTTCAGAAATAACGGTAAAAATCAGCCAGTCATGTGCATCTATACTACGGCCATATCAGCTGTACAACGTTGTGCGATTGTGTGTTCGTGGTTGTTATAAGTGATTACATCACGGTCATTTGTTTAACCTGGGAATATTTACCTGAACACATATAGATCACACCCACTAGCGGACTACTGGCTTCTGATTTGATAATGATACAATGGGCGTTTCGTTGTTGCTTTTGGTCGCTGATGAGGCAGTGTTATACGTGTGCTGTATTGATACTTACTACAAAGTTTATTCCAGGATCATCTGCCTTAGTTTAGACTTATCTTGTTAGAAGGCTAGCTGTTAGCTGTTACCTGTCATCTCACAGTATATCTGAAGTCAACAGAAGGCAAGCATCGCATGTGATGATCATACCTAGCCTATAGCTGCAAGCTGGAATATTACCATCATTGTATTAACACGGAAAAACTGGACAAAGTTTTACCAATATTTTATAACGGTATGTGTTATTGAAAACTGGGAATATTACAGACTAACTGACCACGTTCCTCAATCTTAAACCTGTCAAGGGTCACATTGATAACGAGCATCTGACATAATCCGGGACCAGTATCTATAAAGCTAACAGAACCAAGGTGCATTACGTTTATCTGTCTTTACGGCTGTTTGTATTCCACGCTGGTCAAATCACGTCCGTGCCACATATACCTTCGTGGCATACTCGCGACAGGCCATCGATGCTTTGGTCCAACTAAATGGCATAATCTCAAGTTCACAATAACACCGTTATCGTAAGTTTTATCTGTAAACGCGAATATCTGCGATAACTAGAACAGGTATATAATACGGGGGACAGTCACAAATCATTGGGTGGATGTCTGGTAAATTCACTAAAGTATGTCACCTTGCTTTCGTCAAGTTCGACAAATCTTGACCATTGCTATTCTATATTAACTTTAATCTATTGTAAATACCTTAACTATATGTTACCAGCCTTAGCACTTCTTTCAAGTTGATGTTGAACGACTGTCTCATATACAGTCAAGCACTGTTGTCTCGATATTCATGGGACCAATAAAAAATATCGAGTTATCCGAACTTCGAGACATCCGACCAGGGCATATCATCACATATCACTATGAAAGAAAACAAAACGCTTCTTAGTATGTTTTGATTCGAAACTTTAATCCATTATCAGTAGTGTTTAGTCGTAAACGTGAGTACAGTATATTCTTTATAACTGATTAGGAATGCTTATTAAATGCTGATTAACAGAAGGCTGTTTTGTGTCGACTGTTTAACTATAATGTACGTGAAGACTGCTGTTTTGGGACTGTTTTATAGAATTGTCGCGCATTTTTAACTGTGAAGACTATGCTGTTTTGTGACTGTCATATAATGTATAGAATGTGTCGCGTATTTTAACTATTGTATTACGTGTGAAGACTATGCTGTTTTGTGACTGTCATATAATGTATAGAATGTGTCGGGTATTTTAACTATTGTATTACGTGTGAATACTATGCTGTTTTGTGACTGTCGTATAATGTATAGAATGTGTCGGGTATTTTAACTATTGTATTAGGTGTGAATACTATGCTGTTTTGTGACTGTCATATAATGTATAGAATGTGTCGGGTATTTTAACTATTGTATTACGTGAATACTATGCTGTTTTGTGACTGTCGTATAATGTATAGAATGTGTCGGGTATTTTAACTATTGTATTAGGTGTGAATACTATGCTGTTTTGTGACTGTCGTATAATGTATAGAATGTGTCGGGTATTTTAACTATTGTATTACGTGTGAATACTATGCTGTTTTGTGACTGTCATATAATGTATAGAATGTGTCGCGTATTTTAACTATTGTATTAGGTGTGAATACTATGCTGTTTTGTGACTGTCATATAATGTATAGAATGTGTCGCGTATTTTAACTATTGTATTACGTGTGAATACTATGCTGTTTTGTGACTGTCGTATAATGTATAGAATGTGTCGGGTATTTTAACTATTGTATTACGTGTGAATACTATGCTGTTTTGTGACTGTCGTATAATGTATAGAATGTGTCGGGTATTTTAACTATTGTATTAGGTGTGAATACTATGCTGTTTTGTGACTGTCATATAATGTATAGAATGTGTCGGGTATTTTAACTATTGTATTAGGTGTGAATACTATGCTGTTTTGTGACTGTCATATAATGTATAGAATGTGTCGCGTAGAATGTGTCGGGTATTTTAACTATTGTATTAGGTGTGAATACTATGCTGTTTTGTGACTGTCGTATAATGTATAGAATGTGTCGGGTATTTTAACTATTGTATTAGGTGTGAATACTATGCTGTTTTGTGACTGTCATATAATGTATAGAATGTGTCGCGTATTTTAACTATTGTATTAGGTGTGAATACTATGCTGTTTTGTGACTGTCGTATAATGTATAGAATGTGTCGGGTATTTTAACTATTGTATTAGGTGTGAATACTATGCTGTTTTGTGACTGTCGTATAATGTATAGAATGTGTCGGGTATTTTAACTATTGTATTAGGTGTGAATACTATGCTGTTTTGTGACTGTCGTATAATGTATAGAATGTGTCGGGTATTTTAACTATTGTATTAGGTGTGAATACTATGCTGTTTTGTGACTGTCGTATAATGTATAGAATGTGTCGGGTATTTTAACTATTGTATTAGGTGTGAATACTATGCTGTTTTGTGACTGTCATATAATGTATAGAATGTGTCGGGTATTTTAACTATTGTATTACGTGTGAATACTATGCTGTTTTGTGACTGTCGTATAATGTATAGAATGTGTCGGGTATTTTAACTATTGTATTAGCTGTGTGAATACTATGCTGTTTTGTGACTGTCGTATAGAATGTGTCAATGTATAGAATGTGTCGCGTATTTTAACTATTGTATTACTATTGTATGAATACTATGCTGTTTTGTGACTGTCGTATAATGTATAGAATGTGTCGGGTATTTTAACTATTGTATTACGTGTGAATACTATGCTGTTTTGTGACTGTCGTATAATGTATAGAATGTGTCGGGTATTTTAACTATTGTTTTATTACGTGTGAATACTTTGCTGTTTTGTGACTGTCATATAATGTATAGAGTGTGTCTGGTATTTTAACTATTGTATTACGTGTGAATACTATGCTGTTTTGTGACTGTCGTATAATGTATAGAATGTGTCTGGTATTTTAACTATTGTATTACGTGTGAATACTATGCTGTTTTGTGACTTAGGAGATAAACATCATGTGTTGTATGCATTCGCCAACACATGATGTTTTACTCAGGTATTGACCCGTAAACTGCAGGTGTCCCGTAAACCGAAAGGTCCACACACGTTTTTTGTGTCAGCTCTCATTGACATCGAGTACGGGTACAGCAGTGAAATGTCATCAGCCGGCCGTTTCGGTTGTCTCCCACGGTAGCATCTGGAACTGCTCATTTGTGATCACGTTTGATCACGTTTTTCAACCAATCAGATTAAAGAACACAATGACTTTTGGTTTACAATGGAATATGTATCGTGATGAATTTAGTATGTGTCGTGTGTAACGAATCTACATGTGATGTTTATGTACTTTGATAGCTGATTGCATTGCTAACATGTTCTAATATTTTAATGTTCGTTTATTTACTCAGGTATTGTGTTGTGTGTCGGTTGGTATGCTTTGACTTCTTGCCAAGCGAGCTGATTCCCCAACTCTCGCGTTTTAATAATTATAATATCACGCTATTTGAGAACATTGTTGGATAATTTTAGTCACTGCTGCATTCTCAAGTCTTTCAGAGCTGGGAGGTGTTCTGAATGTTAAGTCAGCACTGTAGATTAGCATGCCGCTCGGCATTGGGTCTTTGGTAATTCACGATAGTCTGGTTATAATAGAAGCCGGCATATTATTCAACTAGCCGACTGAAATTCTATATCAAAATTGTAGTTTAAAATCAGTATGATACATTATTACAGAAAACACATATAAACTTTCCTCTTGATTGTATTTTACTGATTTTTTCGATTTAATGTGTGCTTTGGAAATCGTGGAATTTGAAAATGCAAACTTTATTGGAATATCCTGGTATACTTACTCCTACATAAACAACAAGCGCCGCTGATCGTGACGTGACCATCTGTATGTTAACCTTTCGCGATGCGTTCATATTGAGTCACATATAAACAGAGAGTAAACACAGTGTGGAGGTTTCTACGCCATCTAAAGTAGTAGAGATACGTCCATCACAGAGATATCTGGATGCTTTTCATATCTATACAATCTCTTATAATTTCTTCAGATCACAGATTTCTTTAAAAACAGGAATTGTGTGAAGAAAAACCAGCCTTAGCCTGTTTTCGAAGCTGGAGCAGGCGAGGTGAATACTGTCATCACGGATCATTATGGGTATAATCGTATAATCACTGCATGTTTGTTTTCTTGCCGTTGTACCTTTGAGGCCAAGGAATTTGTATATATTTAAACCGCTGTTGTAATTGGTTGTGTGTGTGTGTCTGTGTGTGTGTCTGTCTCTGTGTGTGTCTGTGTGTGTGTGTGTGTCTGTCTCTGTGTGTCTGTCTCTGTGTGTGTGTGTGTGTCTGTGTGTGTGTGTGTGTGTGTGTGTGTGTGTGTGTGCCTAGTGTGTTGTGTGTCTGTCTCTGTGTGTGTGTGTGTGTGTGTGTGTCTGTGTCTGTGTGTGTGTGTGTGTGTGTGCCTAGTCGATGCGTTCGCACGTCACGTCGATGACCCGGATTCGATTCTCCACATGGGTACAATGTGTGAAGTCTGTTCCTGGTGTCCCCGTACAAATTTCGGTTTATCTATTTGTTTATATATCTGTTTAAAATGTGTGATTCCAATCTGTCTGCACTCAATACTTGCTGTGCCTCTGTGTTTGTCTACGGTTTACCACTACCTAGACAGTTTGTTGACATATCGGGCCGACATACTGTTATATATTTAGTCTTACACGACTCATCATCTCTCTGCTCACCTGTTTAATCTTGATAATGAGGTCGTAAAGGCGACACGGAACTAGTTAGCTCCAGATGTCCAAATGATAC